GCCTCTTTAATTGCAGCACCTACTGTTGACGATAAAGTCTTGATTCTTAACCACAATGTTCTCAGCCTCTATGATGCTCATGCTCCAGTTCATAAGGTCAGATTGAAGCGTCCGCCTGCTCCATGGATGACGGAGGACGTAAGGTTGGCAATGACTAGACGAAATCGAGCTTTTCTTTGTTTCAAGAGAGATCGTACTGAAGAAAATTGGTTATCTTTTAAAGCAGCCAGGAATAGGTGTAATCAGATGGTACGTGCAGCTAAACGCCGATATTTCCATAATTGTATTAATAACTCTTCACCAGCCGTAGTGTGGAAATTTCTAAGATCTTTTGGTCTTTGCAGGCCAGCTACATTGGATTGTGGTCCTTCTCTATCACTCGATGAAATCAACCAACATTTCGCTTCTGTAAAAGCATTGGACCCTACAATTCGCTCCCAAACTATGACATCCATTGCTTCTATGCAAACTCCTAACATTCCTACCTTTAATTTTTCTCCTGTTTCTCAGGATGATGTCAAAAAGTCTATTTTAGCAATCCAATCCAAGGCGGTGGGTTATGATGAGATTAGTAGACATATGGTAGTATTTATACTAGAGCATCTTCTTCCTGCAATTTCCCATATCATCAATTTTTCCCTTGATTCATGTCAGTACCCTAATCTTTGGAAGAGGGCTTTTATAAAGCCTCTCCCAAAAGTTCCTACTCCCATTCTTCCCAATCATTTTCGCCCGATATCCATTCTACCCTTTCTTTCCAAAATTTTAGAATCCTGTGTTTACAAGCAAATCTCTACTTTTATTTCGAAAAATAACCTACTGAGTATATTTCAGTCTGGGTTTCGCCCTGGTCATAGTACCACTACTGCTTTAATTAATGTTACTGATAATATTAGACAAGGTATGGAAGAAAAAAAGATAACAGTACTGGTACTAGTTGATTTCTCAAATGCTTTCAACACAGTTGATCATGAAATCCTCCTTTCCATACTATCTCACCTGAATTTTGGTCCTACTGCTTTGGAATGGTTTGCATCTTATCTTCGCGGTCGACAGCAGTCAGTCTGTGTGGGGCAAATGTCCTCAGCTTGGGCTGATGTGGATGCTGGTGTGCCGCAAGGCGGTATTCTTTCTCCTATAATATTTTCAATTTTCATAAACTTTATTACCTCCATCCTCGACTGCTCGTATCATTTGTACGCCGATGACCTTCAGCTTTATGTGCAAACTGAATTTGAGGATATACATAATGGAATCAAAAAAACTTAACGACAACTTATCAGCTATCAAAGATTGGTCTACTCGTTATGGAGTTTTGGTCAATCCTTTGAAATGCCAAGCTATACTACTGGGTAGCTCAAGAATGCTAGCTAAGATTAATCTGGCAGATTTACCTCCTATTTATTATGATAGTATTATAATTCCGTTCAGTAATTCTGTTAAAAATCTTGGCCTACATATCGACAGCACGTTGAATTGGAGAACCCAGGTTTCAGAAGTGAGTCGTAAAGTCATTGCCACTTTATGCTCTCTGTATCGTCTAAAACATTTTCTTCCCACAAAAACTAAAATCATGCTTGTCCATTCGCTCATATTAACCATAATTGATTATGCAGATGTGTGTTACCCAGATCTGTCCCAAGATCTTCTGAACAAACTGGAACGCCTTCTTAACAACTGTATACGATTTATTTTCGGGCTTCGTAAGTATGACCATATTTCGCAATATAGATCTAAGCTAAATTGGCTTACAATCCGTCAGAGGCTCAATTCCAGAATATTGCTTGTTCTTTTTTCCATTTTAAATGACCCATCTTCGCCTTCTTATCTTAAGAGTAAATTTCACTATCTCTCCTCATCTCATGATAGGGTCCTACGTTCTTCTTCTAACAACAAAATCTGTATTCCTGTTCACTTCACCGAGTACTATGGCAACTCCTTCACAGTTCAGGCTACACGCCTTTGGAACTCCTTGCCCGATGACATCAGAAAAACATCCAACAAGTATGTTTTTAAAAAATTGGTCCGTAACCATCTATTGAAGACAAAGCATTTTACTTGATTCATCCATTTGATATGTATTGCTAAACAGACGCATATATTCATAGGTATTTGTATGCACTAATTATATATTATGTATTTAAATATGTATATTTGTATGTATATATTTGTATATATGTTTGTATACGTCATATATGTATAGTTTATTTATTAGTAAATTGTATGTATTATGTAGTTAATTATTATTTTGTGTACTGTTATTTTATTCTATATTGTCGCACCTACGTCAAATTCTCACCACTCCATGGGTTGACTGGTAGAGAATGCCTCAAGGCATTAAGTCCGCCCTTTGTATTCTTTTGTTTTAAGGAATGCAATAAAGAATAAATAAATAAATAAAAAAATAAAAAAATCATGATCACAGTTATGTCAAATGTAACTTAGTTTTCGGCACCTGATTATGATGATTTATCATGCAGCAGCACAAGTAGTTCAAATGATAATAACAGCGAATTTTTAAAAAATCCAATTATTTTGCTAGCAAATTGAAGAATTGGACCACAGAAAGAAATATATCTTAAGTAGCTTTAAATGATGTAGCTACAATTGCAAATTGTAGATTTTATTAGCTAGATATATTAGCATCTAATCGCTTTTTGGCCATCTTTAAACGCCTTTTGATTCCCACAAACTTGGTACAATGAAAATGCAATTTTTCCCTTTCTCTATGGTTTCCAAAATTTTAAACGGCATATTTTCCTAAAAAGTAAAATAAAACCTATATTGGTTATACACAACACAGTCAAATTACTTTACAAAAGTTAAATTATGTATCAAATAAAATAGCTAACTCTTTTGGTTTTGCCGTACCTACGTGAGGTAAGAGTATGAATAGAAAACGATATACGTATGCGCTTGCCAGGAGTTACCTATCAACTAAACACAATAACAAAATAAACAGCATGCTCGTACTGGTAGCGTACTGCTGAGCGAGATAAAATATTCTGTCATAAAATGTGCCTTCCTTAATATTGTTTGGCAAAGAAAGAGATAGCTTTAATTCTTTACTCTACTTTTTAACATTACAAAGAAAAGATGTATAGCTAATCTTTATTTGCTAAATATCATTTTTTTGCTTTGGTTTGTGAATTTAACTGAAACAAAGGGGTAGTAATTTATTGCCAATAAATACAATCATTTCAATTAAATCGATGGTTCTAGGTTGGTACAAAAATAAAAAATAAATATTTTTTCAATTTATTAACTTTGTCTGTGTGGCTTTATATACTCTCTGTCTTAAAAGAAGTGAAAGAAGTAAGCACTTTTTTGTCCTTGTCCATAAAATAAAACAAGAAAATTACTTAAACGAGGTTACATCTTAAAATATTATTATTTAAATAAGATAAAGTGAAGAAGGGATAATAATGTTGTTTCTAAGACAAAGGTTTTTCATCTTTTATACATATCTCTAAAGACAATTATCTGTGATGTTTTAAAAACTACTATACAGCGTTAGTAATCAAAATATTCTATTATACAGCTGATTAAAAACCAATGGCTGTATAATATAATCCGTAACATACATAGTACAGCTACTAAGACTATAAGACCCTCGAAATATCCTTTAGGCTGTTTAGCAAATTGTCGCCATTTTAGGACCTATAAAAACAACATTTAAATTGTAAATTTAGGAATATGAGACATTAGTTTTAGCCTACACCATTATTTTTAGTTTGACTAATGATCACCTTGCCCCAATATGCATTCATATTCACTAATTTAATTATTTTCTTATTCTAACCTATGAAATCAATACTTACTTACCATATTTAGTATTTTACCCTTATATTATTTCGTTATTTTGCTGGCGCGGCAATTTTTTGATAGAAATCATATACAAGTTTACCGTAAATCTAATTTTGCACTTTCTATTCACCAGTTATCACCGTCAAAACTCAACTACAATCCACGTAATATTAATATGTAATATAATCTTTCACTCAATGTCGCCATCATTCAATAAGGTATATAAATAAATCTATTAAGTTATGTTTGTCATAAATTCATTTGTGATACCGTTCAAACAGCAATTTAGAACTTTTATCTTTAAAAAATAAGATATTTGTAGTGTAATAGTTTACTTGTATACCAAATAACAGCTATAATACAGCATTATACAGCCCCTTTTGTGCTTGTACAGCTACTGTACAGCGCTACTAACGCATAAAGCTGCATAATTTGTGCCAATATTTTACTTATAAGAGTGGTATAAGCGCTTACACAGCCTTTGTACAGCCAGTAAATGCAGCCTGTAGTATAAAAAGGAACCCCAATACAGCTCGTATACAGCTTGCATGCTGCTTGGGTAGTAGTCAATTGATTGGTTTTACTTATGTCACCAATTTAAAAAATCGATTTCTAAAATAAAAAAAGTAATATATACTATAATACCAGGTTTTGACCGCGTCTCCGTCCGCGTAGAATTAAATAAAACAAAAGATCTATAACAGTAAAGTGGCAAGTAAATCAATTATCAGAAAACCACTTTAAACTCTTTTTTTTGCTATTATTTCAATAAAGAAAAAAGTTTACTTCAAAACATATTTTATATCTTATAATCATCATCACAATTACAGCCCTTCACAAGTCCACTGCTGAACATAGGCATCCCCCAAGGAATTCCATAAAATTTATAATAATCATCAAAAACACTTTTTTAATAATTTTTAATTTCTTTTTATTTAACTCAATACTTTCATATAACAGATAGCTTAGATCGATCCTGGCCTTGCTCTATATCTGTTCATGAAGTTTCATCACAACGGAATACAGACATTTCAATCTTATTTATATGTATAGATTTATAGATATAATACATAAAAATCGTGTAGTAAGTACAAGGGTTTCTTTCTATAACGTATTATATTAACTTTATAACTATATAATATTACAATAAAAGATTTGGTATAGCAAACATGTATGTATATATTTTGCCGTAGCTTATATCATATGCGCTTGGTATGGCGAGCTATTGGCGGCTCTGAAGAGGGCACTGGCGGAGGTGGTGTTCGGCTTTTGGAAGCCGCCTGCGCAACGGCACTGCATTATGCGGATCTGGTACACGGTGCTCTGGCAGACCAAGGCTACTATGAAAATCATGGTAGTTAATAATTTTTCAGCTTTTTATTCTAATTTCTTTACTATCAAAATCAATAGTAGAATAACGTAGCTGTTGCATATTGTGAAATGTTGAAAATAAATTTACATGTGTAAAGTTAGTAATACGATAGTTACTAAGTATTAGCAAGAATGATGCAAAAATGGCATTTGTTATAATTTAAAATGTTTTAAGCGTAAATACTTCACCTATTCGAAATTTAATTTTATTCACGTGTCATTTCTACCTCACAGGACAAAATAAAACAACTGAAGAGATATGCACGATAGTAAACAACTTGGAATATGTGCGGCGCTCGCTTGCAGAATATGACGATGAAATGATGTAAGTACAAATATCATACAACTGGGTACTATGAGGTATTTCAAGAAGTTGATATAGAAAGAGATTGTTGGAAGACATCTGTGGTAACAAAATGTACAAAAATGTAAATTATATGAAAGTATATGTATATCTATGTCATTACGCCCCAATCAGGTTTACACGAGGAGAAGTGTACTTAACAACTTCCCTGTCCGAGAAATAGACACAATAGTTAAACAATTGAAATGTTTATATATGATTTATGGGACAGTGAAATGGTTAACAATAAATTTTAATTTCCTGAAAATATTTCAACTAGGGAAAAAGACCAGATAGTCAATAAAAAGAAGACAAGATAAAATACTTACTTTGCAAATTTTATTTATAATTATTTGAAGATGTACTTACTAACTCGATGAAGATTAGAAATGCTTAGCTACAATTCTAAGAAGTGTATTTCAATCGACTTCAAAAAAAGGAGGAGGTTCTCAATTCGACTGTATTTTTTATGTGTGCTACCTCAGAACTTATTTCTAGGTGTACCATTTTGATTATTCTTCTTTTATTTGAAAGCTGGTGTTCTGATGTGTTCCCATATTGACCAAGATCTGACCAGTAGTTTTTGAACTATCTTTAATAATGTGTATTTAATTGACTTCGACTAAATTGGTGATGTTCTCATTTTATTTACATTAAAGTCGGTTGTGAAAATTTTTTAATTTTACCACTTGTTAAAGATGTTATTAATATTTTTAGTGTGTAAAATTTCAAATGTAATATATTTGAAATGTTGTATTACTCAAATGAAAATTAATGAAGAAATTCAGTTTTTCGTGTTTCTTTCTATAAACGTTAATATAGAGTAGCAAAGGATTTTTTAATTTCTAGTATTGTCAGTAATTTTAATATCAGAACGATTATAGTAATTGTTTAATATAAAGCGTGCAAATGAATGTAACATCTAATTAATGTAGAGCAAACGATGACAACGCGCGGCAACTGGTTCGTGGAGCGCTCGGTACATTGGATGCACGCTCGAGTCGTGCGGCTACACCTCTTGCTGCTCGCGCTCGTCACGCCTTGCGCAAAGCTGTGTTCCATCTCGCTTGGTCACCAGATACGTTACCGACACCGCAGGTACGCTGGAGACAAAAATTATAACATTATATGTTTAGTCGTGTTACAATATGTTTTATTCTTATAGAATAAGTGTATGCTGTGGCTATCTAAATTTATCCTCTTTTAAGAATCAAATTACAGATGCGTTGTTACCCCTGAAGATTAGTCTTAGGATGGAATGCCTCGCTTCCAGTTAAAAATATCTCCGGATCTCTACATTCTTCAAATGAAACACAGCAAAATTAAGCTGCTATTTTACGATGGTATTCTGCGAGAGCGTAGTCCTACCCCGGTTGAGCCGATCCATTAGTGCTGCAAACATAATACTAAAATTACCTGATGCCGTGACAACACATGCAAGTTGATGAGTGAGAAATTATTGTTTGAGTGAGATTATTTTTGTTGTTAAAAATAATAATTTAATTCGTTGATTACACGCCTCACAACGTGAGGGAGTGCGCTACTGTCGATGTGTGCCATACTTAAATTTCGCTACACAAAATCGTTCTTATACTTTGATCTAGCCATCAAATCCATATTATTATTAACGTTACGATAACAACAAACATTGAATTATAAGATTAGTTTATTTTCTAATTGATTCACTTTAGCTTACATAATAGAAAATATATATATATACTATGGACTGTCGTCCGTTGGTCTGTGCGTCGGTGAGTCGTCTCGCTTAATTAATATTTAAGCAATGGATTGAGATATATAGTATGAAGTAATATTCCATATATTCTAATGAGGATTCCTATTGATTTTTGTTACTGAACCCAACACTGTTTGCAAGTTATTGATGATATCGATAAGATTCTCTGTTTTTTTTTCTTGAATAAATGATCGTCACTATTTTTATTTTTTCATCAAAATTAAATTAAGCCTTCATGACGCGTGCACTTTTAGGTTTTCCAAACTATTTTATAAATAATGTTAATGTACTCCTGTTTGTTTATTTATATTTGCTTTCATCACCTTTTATAAATCTATTTTGTTTCTCGTAACATATTACAGAAAATTAGACTGTTAATGCTATATTGAAATTCGATTTTACATAAAAAGTATTTCTGCAGAAAACTTATCAATTAAAAATTAAATTAAAATATTTGTATAGAAGAATTATTACAAAAACAACTACAAATTTAATTTCATATTCTAGTCCATTCCCTCCTTATCATTGAAGTATGCAATCCAAGAAACTGTATGTTTTTTATAAATTACTGTAATATGTAAGTTAAGCGCAGCCTAAGTTCCTTTTTCTTGTTTTTTTTTTAGTGTTTATCTCTCTATTAAGAAAAAGAAACTGTTGGATTTATTCACGCTCTTGTTCGTTTTTATTATGAAATGGCAACTCTTAAGTATAAACATAATAGTACTTACCTACTATTTGAGTTGGAACAGTGATGTAGTTTATAAAATTAAAATTAAACAAATTAACATCAACAGGTTCAAAACGAATAAATTACCAATTAACTCGGATGTAAACAATCGAAGAAAAAAATTCTATGCTAACGTAGTCGCAAACACATTTTGTATACTATAAAATGAATCTCTTATTACCATTTGGTTGTTTATTTTTAATTTCAAGGACCAAAAAAACGAATAGCTGTAAAAATTGTAAATAACAATTCTTTAACAGGCAATAACTCCACTGTTGGAATTCTTGGACCAACATTTATCTTCGTTAAATACTTGGCTACTCCCACGCGCATTTCTTCGCGCACTGGCTGGGTGCTGGAGTGCTGTTCTAAAAGAAGTTTCAGCTCAGGCGGATGCGGGTGGGGCGGAAAAGCCTAGGGTTTATCATCACAGATTGAAAGAGGCTCTAGAACTACTCGCCGAATTTTTCCATGCAGAGGGCAAAGGTAAAGTTCAGATTCTATACAAAGGTCACGCCTTTTTTGTAAAGCCCATTTGTAAATTTTCTTTGAGCATAGTATACACCTACGTCATACTTATTATTAATTAAATCATCGCCTCGTAGTTAATTTAATAATTAGCGGAAGAAAGATTTTAAAGGTCAAAAATGTTCATTTTTATAGTTATAGTAATAGCAGATCAAAAACATTGCAAGTTACGCTAGACGGAGCGCTGCGTACATTTCAAATGTGCGTCACTCCTCACACTTTTTCTTTCTTTGTTTAACAGCCTCTTAAAATCCACTGATGTTCGCGTATATGCGCATAAAAGTGTTGTTGATTGCAATCAATTTTAGATACATTAATTTGCTTGCGTACGTGTTTATACAATAAGTTGAACATAGTTTTAGCGCCACTTGAAGTGAACACCGCGAAATATGTCATCATTTTTTTTATAGTATAGGGTGCCAAACGAGCACACAGTCCACCTGATGGTAAGTGGTTGCTGTGACCCATAGACATCTACATTTATCCTCGTTTGCGAATCAAAATGCGTTGCCACCCGTGAGGACTAAGATGGAATGCCTCGTTTCCAGTAAAAAGGGGTCTCCGGTTCTCTGCACTCACCATACGAAACACAGCAGTGGTAAGCTGCTATTTGACGCTGGTATTCTGTGAGAGCGAGGTCCTTCCCCGGTCGAGCCGACCCATTCGTGCTACAACTATACTACTAATATAGCTGCAGCATGGCTCTACCACGTATAATTATATATATTCAGTACACATCGAATATTTTCAACGGATTTTATCGCGTGAAGTTTATTAAATACTCGAGACGTTTCCTTTGACGAATTATTCCAATAAACGGACGATGAATCGTTAAGCTATTGAAATAAAAAATACACCAAAATTTCAATTGAGAAGGTGGTTGAGTTCTACTATCGGCTTGCATCAGTATACCATGCAATATTTAAAGATCAGATAGAAAAGATCAAGATAATCTAAATCTAATAAATGGTAAAAAACTATGGTTTCTCCAAGACCGTAAGTACAGCAAAGCGCTTGTGGCACAAACGGTTGGAGTAGTTAAAAAATAAACAACGAAATCCGTAAACGTTTCGTGTAACCAAAAGAAGTCATTATTTTATATTTTATCATTGTATTCATTATTTTATATTATGTCATTATTTTATAATTTATGTACGACTGTAGTGTCGCTACATATGAAGGTTAAATATAATGTGGTTTATAAATATTGCGTTTGATTTTTTAAAACTTATCAATTAAGTTCAATTTTTAAAGGCTTACCAATGTCAGAAGTGCATAGTGTTGAATGGTCTCGCTTAGAACAAAGAATGCAGTTCCATCAGGCCCAAACGGAAGAGTTGCTAGAACTATGGCTAGCAGAGCGAATATTAGAACAGACTCACACTCCTTTGCCATCTCCTTATGGCTCAATTTTAGTAAGGTGAGTGAGACACAAGATATTTTAATGAAGTCATTTTTATCTCACGACTAATGAGAATATTTTCAAATTGTTATTTTTGAAAATAAAAATATTTTTTTACATAAATTTTAATTTTTTTTTACACAATGCTTCATGTTAATGAAACATTACTTCCACAGAGTTTACTTCAATCACGACTCACTCTGTGTGGAAGTTCTATCAGCCCGTGATGTAATTCCGCTCGACCCGAATGGACTTAGCGATCCTTTTGTGGTATTGGAGTTGCTTCCGAAGCGACTGTTTCCTAAATCTCATGAACAGAGTACACATGTTCAAAAGGTAAAATATTTTATATAAAAATAAGTCAGTATATTAGGGTGCGTACATATCAAGTAACATGTTGTATAACTTTTGCTTTATAACATGTCCACAATATGTAACATTGTTTTTCAATATTGCAACATATAACAATACTGTACAGATTAGAATAACAATGCAATATAACAATGTTATATGACATTGACTTATGACATTGTCGTTTGTCCTACTGTTGTTCGAGTTATATAACATATGTGTCACGTTATACAACACGTTTTATAACATTCAGCCTCCACATCACTGAATCATGTTATATAAGAACATGTTATGTTATATAATGTGTACGCACCGTTAGGTAACATTTTAATTACACAAGTTATTTCTTAACAGAAAACTTTAAATCCTGTATGGGATGAATGTTTCGAATTCGCGGTGTCGCTGGAAGCCTGCCGATCACCACAGGCCGCATTGGCTCTATCCGTATGGGATCGTGACGTATTGACGGCGGACGATTTTGCCGGCGAGGCATTTATATCGCTATCTCGTGTGCCCGGCGTTAACAGCCATGCGCCACCAGACCCGTTGCGACCCATTGAACTGCCTCTTATGCAATTACACGACCGAAGTAAGTATAACATACGATAAATTTTGTTTTATTAAAAAAAATAACTTCTAGTAAAAAGTAAGACTTCAAAGAGGCAATAATAAAATATTTTCACATTTGAAGTTGTCGGTGTTTATACACAGCGCCGACTTGAGGATGTTAAATTTATGTATTCTTTTTAGTTCTCTGGATTCGGCTATTACTTTTTATTAAAAGTAAATTTTTGATTATTTTAAATTAAAACATCCCTTTTTTGGAATTTACTCTAAATTCCTAATCCACTCTAAAGGTGGAATTTTGTATCCAAGTTTATAATGAATAAGAATATAAAAATATTCGGTTCACAATGGACGAAGATATCGCATTCCATAAACAAGAAATATACCTGCTTTAAGTTCGCTAAAACTACAATTTTGAAATTGAATTAAAAATTGCAGGTCATCCAATTTTACAAATATTGGAGTCACGTACAACGGATAAAATGGCAATGGATTTCGTAAAGAAACAGAAATTAAGATTCGCCGAACAGTAAATTGTATATTTGTGATCTTCGATTTACTTTTTTACCTTTATTGTTTCAATCAATCATCTATTTACGCACAACGTCCATTAAAATGTCGACAATATATAAATTATGAAAGAAATTTAATTTTTTGAAAAAAAATATTATATATATTTAAATTCAGTTAAGTACTTATATTGCGCATTGTAATATGTTAAATTATGTATTGATTATGATGTTATACTACATCAGTATTATTATAAAATTACTATAAGACTGTGTTATTCTTCTATTCATGAGAGAAAATTGTGTATGTGTCATTTTAAACAAATTTTATACGTGTGTAGCCTGCACTTTCGGAGCTTATGTCCTTAGATGTTAGTGTCTAGTAGAAACTCCCGACCAAGTACTTTAAGACTCGTTGTAAACTATAATTTTTACATTTCTTACTACTTAATATGTGAAGTCTTTATATAACACACAAGCCACTATTTGATGTAAAAATATTATTTGCAACCAATATTTGCTCAAAAACCATATATATATCAAGAGTATCCAAATATAATACACAAAACACGCTCCGCTCATACACGCTACTATTTATGTATTAAATAAAGTGCAATACGATTCTAGAGATTTCATATAATGATGGCTCGGATGTTTCATATAATGATGGCTCGGATGGTAAGTCGTTGCTGCGGCCCATAGGCATCTACATCTATCCTCTATTACAAATGAAAATGAAAATGCGTTGTCACCCGTGAGGACTAAGATGGAAAGCCTCATTTCCAGTAAAAAGGGCCTCCGGCCACCTGCACTCACCAAGCGAAACGCAGAGGTAAACCTCTACTTCACGCTGGTATTCTGTGAGGTCGTGGTACCACCCCGGTTTGAGCCGGCTCATCCGTGCGACAGTAAAAGCTGCCACGTGGCTCTACAGTGGTAGCATGACCTCACAGAATACCAGCGTGAAGTAGAGGTTTACCTCTGCGTTTCGCTTGGTGAGTGCAGGTGGCCGGAGGCCCTTTTTACTGGAAATGAGGCTTTCCATCTTAGTCCTCACGGGTGACAACGCATTTGCATTTTCATTTGTAATAGAGGATAGATGTAGATGCCTATGGGCCGCAGCAACCACTTACCATCAGGTGGACTGTGTGCTCGTGTGTCACCCTTATCCTATAAAAAAAATCTTGTAAATAATTTAAGAAAAGAGAGATTTATTCTTAAAACATGAGAAATAATGAAAATGTTAAATATCCACCATACTATGTACTCGTAAATATCTTTTTACCTATTAAATGTCATTACTATATTTTTTCTAAACCATACTCGTATCTGATTTCTTTCCATTTTGGGAGCAATGCCAATGCCGAGAAACAGATAATATCATCAGCGTTGCTTTAATAGCAATTATAATTTTTAGTGTTATTAAACGTTTGCAAGTATTATTTTCTTGTATTAACTACATTGGTGTAACTTTACAATTTGCACTGTCATCTATATACAGAGCAGCTTAAGTATTAAATCACAATATTCAATTGTTAAAATTGTATTTTGTCTATAATGACTGATATTTATTGTGAGTTATTTATTGATTGTCTGTAAAGGAAGCTAAATTTTATAATTATATAAGAAGATGTTCATTGTGTATACACAATTATATATTGTACTTATTGGTAAAAATTTATTGGTGTTTAAACTAAGTATGTAGGTAACTATTTTAAATGAGAGTAGTATAAATGGTTTTGGGTGAAAAAAGATATGAAAAGCTGTGATTTCATATCCTAACAGGTCGAAACTACAATGCTTTGTGTACAAAGGATTTTTAATTTCAATTGCTTACCGAGATAGATTTTTGGCAGTCTCGGTCAGCATAATTATATCATGAAAATATCTATAGTGAAAATGATCTGTTATGTTTTGAAATCAATTTATACGCAAGGTAGGCAAGAAGTGTTGAAAACGATGAATGCCCAAACATTATTAAGACGAGAGGTTTTATACTTGCTATTGCTTATTGTATAAATCTACTGTAGTAGCATGTAAACTTATTTTCTGAGCAAAAAGTTTTAAATGTGTCTTATAACCGCTTTAAATGTTCTCTTATGAAAACCTAGCCATTTATCAGCTAATATCACTATGATAACAAAAAACTAAATCCATATCCCAATGTAACAAGGTCATATCGTGGAGCTTATAATATTATTGTATTTACCCGGTAAGGTTGGCAAAATAACAAATTTTTGTTTTGGTTACGTATCAAAAGACTAACTTGACCATTCTAAAAGTCAATTACTTACATTAGGTTACATAAAAAACAACTTTTACATTATACGTGGCGTACGTATGTATATTTAGGAAACGTTACTACTAATCTATGATTTTATACTACATTTTTGTAACTAATGTCCTAGCGTTAAAACTCCTTTTAAAAATCACATAGTATTGACATTTTTTTTAAATACAATAGACAGAAATCTTTCCAATTTTTATTTTAAATAGGCATAGCGGATAACATGCATATTATTTCCACATGTTCTTTAAAATAGTTATTTGTCTGAAACTTTAATATTAGCATCTTGTTATCACTTGTTACGCTGACATTGGCGAATATATCGAATACGTCATAAAGAAAAAGACGAATAAGTAAAAGATGAAAAGCTGAAATTGAAATTAAGATATACATGCTCGTTTTTTTTTTAAATGGATATAATATGACTAGTATATATTTGAAATATATATGTTTTTGTTTTAATGTCGCAAGTGTACAATGAAACAATATGTGTATACTTATATGTTCCTAGCTTTAACAAAGTGATTAGATCAATGTATTTATTTATATTTTTGTTGTGATGAATAAAATAAAAATATCCTAAAATGTGCGTCGTTTCATTTGAATAGCCTTGAATACTTTACATAAATATAGATAATAAAAATGGGAAAAACATTAATAGATATCATTGGTTCACAGTTTCAGCAAAAGCAAAAAATGGTCCTTAATTTTAACCGACTTTAACAAGAGCAGGTTCTCAATTCGAGTGTATTTGACCCTATGTCTTCGCAGATTGCGAACCAATTATGAAGATTCGAAAAAATTTCACCGCTAAGCATAGCATATAAATAACTTCTTTTTTAGTAATTTGAAGTGGGATTTAACATTTTTAAATTATTTAAATACATTATTTTATAGATCTTGTAATTATATATCACAGCAAAAAGCCGTTCTATTACTCGTATAGGTAATCCTAACATATTACAAAGTAGTCTATCAGATGAGGAATTAAGATGTAGCATAGGAATCTTATTTATGTATCAATTCACCTGATGATAAGTGGAAGCCTGACCCATAGACACCTAGATCTATCTTCGATAAGAATCAAAATGCAAATGCAAAGGACTGGGTTGGTTACGATTAAAATTGTATAATAGGTCGGTAGTAGGTAGGGAAGTTGAAATTTAAATCCGTACTTACATTTGTCTGATCTGTGTAATTTTTTAAAATTGGTGTGACCGCCATTCTCATTTATTGTTTAGATAGATAGATACAAGTTAAAATGATTTATGCACAAATTAAAAAATAATAATTTGTGCAATGGTCATTTTTATGTATGTAGGTTAATGAATACCTACATACCTTACCTTTTGTCTCACACTGAGACCATCATATCCAGACGGTTTTCATTTAATCGTAGTTCATATATAAATCTGCTATGGATCTATCTTAATATGTGATACTGGGATCAGCGCATACGTGATTTATTTAAGAATTTATTTAAAAAATTTAATCCATAACGATGAGGCAGTTTACAGACACAAATTGCACAAGGAAAAATAATCAGACATGAAACAATTATTTGTAGGCCATACAAATACATTTTCTATGCGGGATTCAAACCCGCGGCCCGCAGTGCCTCAACTCAATGTTAATTTCAATGTCACTGCGACACGGAAACGTTCTTGCTTAGAGTATCTTCTGTATCGTGGCGCTGTTTTACGAGATAAACTTTATGAAACGTTACAAATTATATACAGATAGAATATGACTGTGTTTAACTAATACGTGTTTTAGGCAAGAACGTGAAGCAAATAATTAGTCACTACGCAAAAGTATATATATATATATATATATATATATATATATATATATATATATATATATACCCCTAACCAACGCCGTCTTAGGTCATACCGGGGCTCTTGGGCACACAAGAATTTGGGGCCCTGTTGGAAAGTAAAAAAAAGGGAATGACAAAAACATTTTTCTGCTATATGATTTTATATATTTAAAATAGTTAATTGGTATTAATTACTTAAGGCCTTAACAGTGGTTGAAATGCCTAAATCTAGGATATTTAAGTAAAAAAATCTCAATAACTGTTCATTTAATCCACAAAGAAAAAATACAAGGTAACAGAAGAAGATTTGGTAAATGTTTTTAATTTAACAAAATTGTATTTTTGTCAGCCCCTTATTAGAAAAAAAATCCCCAAAGAGTACCTATCTTTGTCATATTTTGCAAAATTTCTCCAAAACGGCACAAGCTTTTTAAATAGTTCTTACACTAAAAAAAAGGTATTAAAAATATTAATATTTTTAATTGAGAGTTTTATTTTTATTACCCGTTTTATAAGAGAATATATCATTTTTCCCTGAAATTGAATATATTTACGCGAGCGCGTATGCTCCGTCGCCATGTAAACTCTGTCACAGTCCGTTTTCGGACATCGTCGAGGGTGGACCGCACGTGGGTGTTGGAGCGACTTCGTTCAAATATATATTAGTTTTTTAAAAGTTTATACTCAATTATAAATATTTTTATGACTAGAAATACTTAATTTAGTTAATATCTGTACACTGGTAACTGTAAATATTATTTTATAAATAAATGAATTTTTAAAGTGCCCAAAGAAGAAGAAATTTTTGCGGCGACGTTGATTAGTGAAATTGAAAAATGCATTTTTATATAATTTAGATGTGGAACGACGAACATGCTCTCGTTACTTAGATTTCGATAGTTTTTAATACCTATG